TGCCTATTATTGGGACACTTGGCATATGCTGGGAAACAGATGTGTTTAAAGGCAGTGTGAAGGACTGCTTCATGATGGATTTGACTCTGTTGGATGATACTGGAAAGCCCTTCTGGTGTTTTAGTRCTCCAGTCCACATGGAACTGTCTTCCAAGGCATCTGGCCTTTTTGACAACATGCGTCATATCTATACTGCAGACTATGCAGATTCAGAGGGCAAAGTCTGTGTTGAGTTTGTAAGGTTGGATGAAACCAGGGAATACATCGTAGTTAGGTTGATGCTTTATGTAAGCACCATAAAGGTAAATAGCTGGTATGGAAAAATTACGGATTTTATTAGTTGCTAAACTCTATTTATATTAAGTTTTGTTGAGGTCAAGCTCTTTTAAATACCTTCAGTTCTATTAGGTGTAGTAGTTGCTGAGTTTTGGTGAAGTTAAATTTGTGTTCTGATGGGTTTAAGCTCTGTTGGGTGTTGTCAGGTTTGGATTATGTTGCTTTTGAATGACATTAGGTTCAAATAAAATTAAGCTTAAATTTTGTTCTAATATGCTCATTTAAAAATAAATATTAAGTTATTTTGTTATAGAGACAAGATGAAGCCGACTGAAACGATTGTGATGGAAATTGGTAAGCAATGGTTTAAGAACATGAGCTGATAATTTGTGTAGAGATATGTGAAAAAGCAGTTTTGATAAAAGCCTGATTGTAGGATATTTTAGGGAATCCCTCCCAGCTGAGGCCTAGGCTCTGGCCAAGCCCTGGCCCTGGCTGGTTGGGAAGTGCCAACAGACCCATGTGTTTCTGCACTAAAAATGTAATCAAGTCACCTTGACTTGCCAATTTGGGTTTATCAAAAGTTGGAACCCTTTCAAGGTAAACTTGGAAGCCTTGCCAGGSAAAGGTTCTCYAGGCCCTGCCTGTGAAATCGGGTTRGCCAGCACTTGTTGCAGACCCTGKATAATAGGGAGGTGTTTAGGCAGTTGATAGATGTGTCTTTCTAAATCACAATCCTTTCACTGATGTACCACTGATTGCATGTATTACCTTATTTGCTTTTTCCTGTGCTAACACTGAGCACGTGGTGGGCTTGTTGCTTTGTTACCTGTATTGTTTTGATTTGTGTTGATGTTCATACTAAGAGAAATGCACATTACTAAAAAAMAAAAGGGRGAGTATGGCCCCTAAAGAAAATAAGATAACGCAATATTTACACTACATTTTTCAAAAGTACAGTAATTGGGATAGAAARCACCAGCTATTACCACCTGCAAAATGAAATGCATTTTTTTCTCCTCTGTTGTTGGTTCCCTCATGCTTGGAGGGCGAGGCTTGGGGTCGGGCATGTCCTTCRTGTCGTCGGGGTAGTATTCTTCGGTTGCAGGGGGTCTGCCTTCCACCTTGGGTGTGCAGACTGGATTTGGACCATTGTGAGCTGGAGGTGCAAAGTAATCATCTGGTTCTTTGGAGTTGATGGGGGTAGACATCAGCGTTGTCTTTGCAGACTGTGAATGTGTACGCGACGGTTTGCGGGTCAGCAAGAACAGGAGGATAGTCCTTACAGGGTGAGGGGATGCCGCAGTAAAGAAAGATGGCAAAATTAAGTGGTGTCCACTTAAGTCCATGAAGCCGGAGCTCCAGAATAAAAGTAACGAAATCTGCGAGTTTCTGTTCACAGGACCACTTCATCGGACACCCTCGTAACCCGTACACCCCGGTGGCAGAAGAGAACGACAAGCCGGTGAGCCTCCAGTCAGCACTAAAAGGCYCTGCACAGGYGAGACCCAATCAACAGYGAGRCAGCCCCCGTGGGGGAGGGCTGCGATGTTTTTGTGTAATTTTACTTTTGGGGTTGGTAGAGCACCAACAGCTGCTTAAAAAAATGTTCTTACTCAGGGTTATCCCCAGTTATCCCGAGTTATCCCTAATTATCCCAAGTTACACCCTGAATACCCCCCAGTTACCACATGTTCACTGTGCCTTATGTTTGTTGTTGCGAAATTATAATTGGTTTTACGAAGTTTATCAAGTTTTATAAAGTTTTATGGAGTTTTATAAAGTTTTATACATTTTATAAKTTTTATATATTCTAGCTTATTTAATTAGGCATAGGCAGGGGGGAGATGTGACAGTCAGGGCTTATCGTGCAGAAGATCTCGCGATGTACGCGCAGATAGGACCCCTCTCCCTATAGCCAATTATGTTTAATACACTGTTACTAGGCGGAAGTGACGCCGCAAATCTCACACTATATAAGAGTGTGTCACATTCCAATAAACGCTATTTGGCATCCATCATATTGATGAGAGTGTTCAGTGGACCGAGTGGCCAGAGGGTCACCGCCGCAAACCAGGTCGCTACACCGTTAGAATCCTCCTAATGGCAACAGCAAATGGTAGGAAAGCAGACCAATAGGCACTGTGGCCACTCAAACTGCAGCTGAACCAGAGAAACAACTCGTGACAGCTGCAGTCACCCCTATACAAAAGAATAAATCCAAGACCAAATCAGTTTACTTAGTGATGGGTGAAGAGGAAGCAGGACCCACACAACAAGAGGAGGATTCAGGACCAGAGATAATCACTTGATCTCTGTCCCTGTGTATGCTATATGATATGTGAAAAGATTTCAGCTGCCATTTGGGAGAGCGCCTAGTGACCCAGTTATATGACCCATGCTTCGATGTTGTGATGGAAAAAAAGACTTCACTGACAGCTTTAGAAAACCAAAGAACTTCAGCAAAAGATTTAGTGCATCATTCAATCAGCTTAAAACACTTCTCAAACAATTAGCTTAGCCTATTCAAATTAGCAAACTTTTAAGTCCATTCAATTTTAAGTTACTCAAAAATTCTGAGAAGAGAGAACTAGAATAATGAAGACAGAACTAGAAAGAGAAAAACATAAAACATATAGAAAGGGCCACACACAACTCCTGGGTTTCAGCAGTCTTCAGCTGATAGAAACTCCAGAGGTAGGGTCAAGACATGCCTGCCTCATGTCTTGGGTTAAGCAGCCCTTAGCCTTCCTGGGCTCTTCCCCTAGGGGGGACTTCCAGTCATTTGGCCACTCAGGAGCTGGGTTAGGGCCTCCAGAGGCGGGGTGTGGCGCACTGTCTCCAATGTGCCAGTGATTGGCAGCCACTGCAGGGCTGGGATATAGGCTCTCAGGGAGGCAGGGACTGTGGAGCAGGGCTCTGCGTTGCCTGAGCAAGGCCCAACCTGCCCCTTCCCCCACATACATGCACCCCCAAATCTCTCAAGCCATCAGTCTTTCCAGTCTGTCACAGCAACAGGGTCATAACATTCAAGTAACACAATTGTTTCCAGCTCCTCCTGTTTGTTGCCCATGCTGTATGCCTTGGTGTAAAGGCGCCTCAGATGTGTTGCTGGCCATGTCACCTTCTCCTTAACACCTTTGAGATATTTCTTTGGTGTTTCCCTGTTAGCTTCTGTTATTTCAGGAGTCCCTGGCTCACCTCTGTAAGACTGCAGTTACGCTCCAGTGTGTCTAGTGCCTTTTGGAGTCATCTGCCATTGCCACCACCCTGTCCCTCTAACACTTCCATGCCACCCTACAGCTTGTCAGGAACAAGTCTGATATAGCACTCCTGCCCCCTCACATCTAGTTTAAAGCCCTGCCAATGAGCTCTGATAGTTCCTGGGCAAAGGCTCTCCCTTGCAGAGAAAGGTGAGTCCTGTCTGATGCTAGCATGTCTGAGTGCTGCAGTAAGCCATAGCATTGTCAAAGCCCACAAAATTATGGTGTTGACACCAGCTGCAGAGACAGGTAATAATAGACTCAGCCAGTCTGTTTCTTTCAATATTGCTGCTTTCAACTGGAAGTGTGGAGAAAATAACTTGTACCCCAGAATCCCTTACTAAATCTCCCACAGTCTTGAAATATTTTTTTGATCACCCTCAGACCACACRTTGCCATTTCCTTGCCTCCGACATGGAAGATTAATAATAGGTGGTTGTCCATCATCTGCAGCAGACTTAGAAGCTCTTCTCCATGGGATCCAGGGACAGGATGCATGGAAATGGCTCACAGCTATACCAGGGGATGTTCAGACTGGACATTAGGAAGCTTTTCTTTACAGAAGTGGTTGATGCCCTAAGCCTGTTGCTGTTTGAGATGCATTTGGACATTGTCCTTCATAATTTGCATTAACTTTTGGTGAGTCTGGAAGTGGTCAGGCAGTTGGAATAGATGAATAGAGGAACTATTCTAGAATCTATAATCTATTTTCTATTCTATTCCCATCCCATAACCATGAGCAGAGAGACTCCCTTAACCTAGTCCACTTTGATGAGGCCTCCAGAGGGATTTGTGATGCCTGGAGAGCAATATGGGGGATTTGTGTGAAGGCTTAAATGGAGCTAAACACAGCCCAATGTTTGGGCTGGGGACCAAGATGGCCCTGTGTGGTTTCTGCACATGACTGAGTGGTTTGCAGGTCTTACTGATGCAGAACAAGGCCCGTTCTCTGCCCTTCTGCCAACTCAATTTTTGAGAAAGCTATTGGTAGTGTTCGAAAACATGTAACTTTTAAATTGTTTTTTTAAAATTTTATTTCCCTAGTCAGGCTTGGTTTGCCTTTGCCTTGGGGAAAGGAATTTTAAGGGTTTTTTTAGGAGATAAAATCTCAATGGAGATAAGCTTCAGACTGGGAGTAGCCCAAAAGATACGCAAAAGATGATGGCCCTCAGCAGAACATCAAAGGTCTTCAGCAAACATCAACAAATACCTACCCTAGACTCGACTCCCTGGCAGGATTGGAGATACCTGCTACTGAAAGGGTTCATAGGGAAATCAAAGGACTTAATTCACATCAGAGGTGAAAAAATCCAGGTCCAATAGGAAACCAGATACTAAGAACTACACAACCTGGGACCAATGAACATTGAACAGTGGATTTCTACAGGTTTTGGACTCTACAAAGTTTGGCGGAAAATCTAGTCAAACTTGTGTGTGTGTGGAATATTTTCTGTGGCACATCCTGGCCAGAATAAAGTAATACCTGATTCTCTATCACTACAAATATAGTGTTAGAGGGTTTTTAAAATTTTCTTCCTGATTTTTAGTGACAGTAGTGTCTCTGTGCATCTTCTCATTGCTCCCTGCCTTAGGCGAGGAGGTGCTCAGCACCTGATACTCACAGGGTGTTGGGTACCTCCTGGAATCACTGGAGATGGACACAATAAAATTGTGCACATAGACCCTAAACASATTTTGCAGGTTGTCCCACTGTGCTGCAGGCAGGGTCAGGTAGACCCATGGGTAGAAGTAGAGGATGTTCCAGGAGTATTTCTTATTTCCGCAGGGCAGCAAAGAGGATGTCCTCTGGGATGGCTCAGGCGGAAATTTCCACAAAACTGGTGTTTTGGAAGACAAAGGTTTGAAAAAGGTGGAGTTTACAAGGGCAGGTGGGGAGAGGAGGGAGAGGAAGCAGCATTGGGGTGCATGAAGATGAAGAAGGAGGACAGGGAACTGCTAGTTCCAGTGCTTCAGGATAATCTGGGAAGGTAGGGTGGCTTGTACTGTCACCAGGGACAAGCAGAGTGAAATGGAATGGATGGGCAGGGTGGGGGAGGTCACCCAGCATCACTCAGTTTGCTGTTTCCTTCTACAGCCTTTCTGAGCCTGTCCCTGCTGCTGTAATTTTCTTCTTTTAGCCATCCACTGCCTCGGGACCTTCTGGGAGCTGTCACTTAGTCATGTGGAAGGGATGGCAAAGGGGACTCCAGTGCTAGTTTGGGTCAATGCTGCCCCTGGCAAGGACACCCATGCCAGGACTCAGATCCATTGGACACCGGCACACAGTGCGGGGGCTGGAGGGACTGGGGCAGACAGTTGCTTCACCCCGGTTCAGGGGTTCCCAGGCAGTGCTTGAGACCAAAACCTAAGTGTGGGCAGAAGACTGAGTGGTATGCTGCAGTGCTGAATAAAACTCTGGTAGTAAAGAGGGCAGAGTCAACCTATTTTAGAGCAGTGGGTGCTCCTCTGGCCAGGGCACAGGGAGCATCTATCCGTGGAATGGAAAACAGTCTGTGGGTGAAGGTGAGGGCTTGTAGCTACAGGGGAAACATTTGAGTATTTCCCATGGAAAATTTAGAGGCTCCAGGGACCCTTCACAAGAAAAATTCAGGCTGAGAGGAATGCCCAGGATCTGTTGCAGGTCTTGGAGCCGAGTGAGGTGCTGAGAACCCCTGCTGCCCCCAGTCTCCTTGCAGGAGAAAATCACTTTTGGGGTGTCTTGTTTTGAAAGACGAAAAGTGTTTGCCAGTGAAGGCGGGAACCTCTCTCGGAGTGGCAAATATGGCCACTCTTTCCCTGCGAATTATGACTTTGAAATCACGGGGCATTCAGACAAAAATATGGGGAAAAGGGAATAACAGTTTTTCACTAGTATGTATAACAAAGTAAACAAGCAACAAACAATGATAGCAACATCCAACAAAATCACGAACCCAGTGACAGCCTTCTGCGGGCTGCCACACACCCTCCCCTGTGGTGCAGTTACGGTGACAGCCGTCAGGGGCGCTGTTGGCTCCCGGCCGGGCAGGGCGGGTGCGATGATTTCCCCACGACCCCCGATGATCCGCCCTGTAACCGAGGTTTGAGTTTTGGGAAAGGCCTCTTCATGTGTGTTCCCTAGGGAAACTAGTGTGGCTGTTGCATGGCTGGGCTGGGGCGCTCTGGCCAGCGGCTGCAATTGTCAATGGAATTTATGTGTGTGCAAAGTCATGACCTCGTCCCGTGGTATTTCCCCAGGGCTTAAGCTGGCAGAGAGTACTGGGTTTACGTGGGAAAGTTCTGGTAGCAGTGGGGCTGCAGGGGTGGCCTCTATGTGAAGACACCAGAAGCTGCCTCCATATTAAGCACAACTGCCTCCAGCTGGCTCCAAGATGGGCCTGCAACTGGTCAAGGGAAAGACCATGAGCGGCAGTACTTAAGAAGTATTTAAGAAGTTAAAAAAAACCCTGCTGTGTAACCATAGCTGGGAGAGAGAAGTGAGAATATCTGAAAAACGACTATGGGCACACTGAAGTCAGTGAGGAAGGAGGGGGAGGAGGTGCTCCAGGCACCCGAGCAGAGATGGTGCCCATGCAGCTTGTGGTGAAGATCATGGTGAAGCAGCTGTCCTGCAGCAGCCCATGAAGGTCCATACCCGCAGAGATCCACCTGCAGCCTTTGGAGGAGCTCCATGCTGTAGCAGGTGGGTGTGACTGAGAGAGGCTCTGACCCTATGGAGACCCTGCACTGGAGCAGGCTCCTAGCAATACTTGTGACCCTGAGGGGAATCCACGCTGAACAGCCTGTTCCTGAAGGACTGACCCCATAGAAAGGACCCATGCTGCAGCAGTTTGTGGAAGACTATCTCCTATGGGTAGGGCTCACTGGAGCAGGGTGGAAGGAGGTGGAGGAGAAAGGAGCAATGGACAATACATAATGAACTGATGACAATCTTCGTTCCACATCCTGCCGTGTATTGTGTTTTTCAGTGTCCCAGAGCCTCAGTGTGGCTCTTTCATGGTTCTCAGGCCTAGTGGAAGGGCGACAATCCCCCATCCCTCCAGCTTTTACAGAGACAGGAGGCAGGCATGGAGACAGGGGCCAGGAGTAGAGGAGATCCTGATCTGAAACCATTCTGGACAGAGGGTGAGATCAGTCCTGGAGCTGGAGCAGCTTGATGTGCTCAAAATGTCTTCCTGTGTCAGGGATATCAGGAGTATCACTTGGGTCCTCCCTTCCCCTTCTCTCTCCAGTGAAACAGCTCACATGTCTCCATCTCTCCCTGGTTTGTGGCCTGCTCCATTCTACATCTCATTCAGCAGCCCCACAGTGGTCTGGCCTCAGGTTGTAACTGCCCTGTCAGGAGCAGACATTGCTCATGGAGAGATGTGGGGARGCTGTCAAGAGGACTGGCTTCTCCTGACATGCCAGGTGTAGATAAACCAGAATCCAGGAAAAGGAAAAGTCTTCCTGGCTGCAATGTGGAGTTTCTGTAGTGCACTGAGGGGTTCCCTGGGAAAAGCTCCTGAGGGGGAAGAAGGGTGAGAACCACGGGAACCACATGCATCAGGGGAAGTTTGTAGCTGTTTAATGCAGTCGTTTTACAGAACAAAACTGTGTCGCTGCTGATGGGTCAGGGGTGGGACAGGAAATAAGCAGGGAGAGCAAGCAGTTGTTGCTGGGTGGGTAGCCAGGCCTCAAATGATAAATTCGTGCATCTCCAAAGTAGCCTCATTAACTTTCCTGTAAAGGGGGGACACCAGGAGCTGCGCTGACAGTCAGGGAGTTCACCCCTACAGAGCCACTGCTGCTGCAGCTCCTGGGCTGACCCACATGCCCGTAAATCTTACAACAGGTGATGGGAGGGAGAGCTCACCTGTGCTTCCACCACCAAAATCCCCCAACAGAGGCTGTGGCCACAAGAAGCAGCACTACAATAGTGATGCTGATGGTTGGAGCTGCGCTGTGGTCTTCTGGAACAGGGAGAGAAGAGGGTGACTTTGGGAGGGTGGCAGCACCAGTCAGGAGCTGCCCTTCACAGGACCAGTGGCTGCTATCTGCAGCCTGCACCCCATCCCCCATGGGTAGCACCTACCCCATGGGATGAGAAGGCTGTGGGTGCCCAGGCTGCAGTGGCGCACACGGCAGACATAGCTGTGCCCATCACGGGGGGCCATGGCCAGGATGCTGCGGAGTTGGTAGGTGAGGTCAGCATTGGGCAGGATGGTGCTGGAGTTGAGCACTGGGTCCAGAGGCACCTCATGGCCATCCTGCAGCCAGGCTACGCTGATGGGACGGGGGTAGAAGCCGGTGACGTGGCAAACGAGAAGCAGCTGGTCTAGGCTGGGGGTGTGGGTGAAGACCGTGGCCACAGGCCGCTCTGGGAAATGAGAGCAAAGGGATGGGGAAAGCCCTGGTGGGGCATGGCTTAGCCCCAGTGTGAGGGGCTTTGGGGTGGCTGTTGCAGGGTCAGGGTGGTCTCACCTTGTCTCTCCAGAGTTGCCCTCCCATACTTCTCCAGGGCGCGGAAATTGCTGTGGCATATCCAGGTGGAGAGAAGGTACTCTAGGAGCACTGTGACGGATTTCTGTCTGTTCAGGCTCTTGTTGACCACCTCTGCCACCTGGGATGTCTGCTGGGTCTCCCAGCGCTCTTTATCTACCTCAAAAGCTACGAGGTCTCTGCCATCCCAGCTGACATTCAGGAAGCCCCAGCTTGTCATATTGGGGTACAGCACACAGCCTGCACGGAACTGGACCACCAATGGGTCTGTCAAGGGCAAAACCAGTGGAGAGGTCCCATAAATGTGTGGAGCATAGGTGGCATGAGGCGGGATGTGGCTGAGGGCGCATACAGGGGTGCAGTGGAGAGCAAGGTGGAATGGGCATCAGGGCATAAGGTCATGCTTCAGGAGACCCCAGACACCCTGCAAGCCCTCAGGCCCCTTGGAAGAAATGAGTGGATACCGGGATGGGGTGCTTGCTTAAAAAGAATTCTGTGCCCCAAAATATTTGCCCCCAATTTTCTCTTTCATGATCTTTGCTGTGTCAATCCAGCAGCTCCAGTGAATTTGGTGGCAGGTTCCTGACATGCAGAGGGATTCCCTGTGCCAGAAGGCAGAAGCCCCAAGGGTGCTGCCTTACCCACTCCCGCTAGCCATATGCCCCAGCAGCTGCGGTGATTCAGGAGCTGTTGCACCCTTTGAGACCCCCACAAATGTCGTCCCGGTGAGGAAGAGGCCACAGCCGGAATCTGGGGAGAAGGACTAGGGCTCTGGCAGGGCTTGTTCTCATACTCACAGTGCTCTTTTGTCTGCTGAACTGTGTCATGCACAAATTGGATCATATTGCGCAGAACGATTTTGTACTGGGACAACATCTTTTCCCCATCAACCTCAGCTGCAGCCTGCCTGGCCCAGGGCCAGTGGAAGTGGATGCTCCAGTTGGCAGGATCCAGTGTAAAGATGGGTATGTCCCCTACGAGTCCCAAGCATGACACCTCAGCAGAGCTGATGTTGGCAAAGAGGCCAGTCAGGAGGTACTGGATAACCTGTGGCTCTGTGAGGAGAGATGATGGAGATGGGAAGGGGTGCAGTAAGGAGATGAGCAGAGGTGCTAAAGAAAAAACAGGGGAAGTAGTGGTGCTGAAGGGGGAACAGGGAAATCAGATTAGATAATAAAAAAGAAATTTTTTACTGTGAGGGTAGTAGTGAGATACTGGCATGTTACCCAGGCATATGGTAGATGCCCAGTCCCTGGAAACATTCAAGGCCAGGTTTTCATGGCTCTGAGCAGGGAAGGTTCCCCTGCCCATGGCAGCACAGTTGGATTGATTGGTCTCTAAAGGTCCCTTTCACCCCAAATCATTCTGCGGTTCTATGATTCTGTGCTCTTCATCCTGCTCAGGGTTGCCTTCCTGTCTGAACTTCCTCTGACTTCACTGCTCTTTTTCCTTCTCTATTTTACTTTCAACAAAATGGTTGTCTCCTGCAGAGAATTTTAGGCATTTTGTCCCCTCCCCCCCACCTCCCTCCTAGCCAATGCTGCTGTCTGACTGCAGAGCAGATGAAGGGGCACCTTGCTGCTCATTTGGGGTGATGCTTTCCCCCCAGGAGAAGCACCTGTGCTGGGACCTGTATCTGCCAAAGACCTGCACATGGTGCAGAGGATGTGGAGGATGGTTGTTAGGAAATAGCATCTGTCCAGGTTTGGGGCTCCCTGATGGGCCCAGGACATCAGCCCAACCCAGAGATCAATACTGCCTTTCTGTGTCTGGTACTTGCCTGCCCYGGAAGCATGAGGTCTCATGGAGCTGTGGTAAAATGCTCTGTGTGACAGCAATACCCAAAATACCCTCTTGCAGGTGCAGCTCCCTAACAAACGAGGGGCTGCTGGAAGGGGCCCTCTGCATGATGTGGAGCTGAGACCCACCTGGCACCCATGGGCTCCCAGCAGTGGGAGGACATCTTGGGGGAAACCTCAATACCCAAGGCCTGCCTGGGGACCCCTGATGTCTCTTCTTGTGTGCCCAAGGCCCTGTGTTGGAGCTGATGTGGCAAAAGTCCTGAGCCAGAGGCAGACAGAGAGGGTGGGCACGGACAAAGTATGGTTGGGTGCTGCACAGTGGGAGGTGGCCCTCTGATGCTAGGGATCATCTCCCCCTCCCTCCCCCACCTCCCCTTCCCGGTGGCCTGGACATGCCTCCCCTGAGGAACTTGCAGGGTCCTCTGACAGGACAGTGGTGTGACATTGTTTGAGGTGAGCCAGGGCTCCCACTTACCCTCTGGGTCTGCCCACATCCCAGGGAGGAGGATCAGGAGAAAGAGCAAGAGGAGGAGGTGAGAGGGCTGCATGACGCATGCGGCAAGGCTGAAGAAGCAGCAGCAGTGGCTGTGGGAGGAGGAAGMACCTGTGGGATCCCAAGCTTCAACCCAGCCCAGCAGTCACTGCGGTGGCCCTCCACCAATCAGACCAGAATGAATGTGTCAGGAAGTGGCCCAGAGGTCCCAAGCTAAAGGCTGGAGCTGTGTTGGAGGGATGAAAGCTGCAATAAGGTCTTGAGCATGAAGTGCCATGACAGGCTAGAGCTGGTAAAAGCCCAGCCAGAAGGAGAAGACAGGGAAAGAAATTCCCAGGAAACAGCACCAGGAAAAAAAAATTCAGTGATCTAAGCTGGGTTCCCTTGACACCCCCTCCCCACCAATATTATATTGTCTTATCCCTGTTCTTGTGGGGTGTATCAGCTCTAATGGAGGTGACTATGGCTTTTGGATTTCAGACCTGAATGGAGAAAGATGGTAGCTCTCCTCTGAGTGTGCACACAGAGAGAAGGGATGCTTTAGGTCACTCTCCTCCCAACTCCTGGCACCTCCAGCTCAGGCTGCTCCTGCACTACTTGCTTAACGCTGGGGATGGGGCTCCCAGGGAGGAAGTGACAAGTTGTTCCACCTACTCCCAAGATATAGGACACTGCTGGTGGGCCCCAGCTCTGCACTAAACACCTGGGGATAGGCCTGGCAACTCCCCTTTCTTTCCCACCAGCTTTGGTGTGGAATCCAGTCCYCCTCCCCAAGAGACCCCTGTGCATGGAAAGAAATGGTGGGAGCTATCCCCGAGCTCTGTCCCCACTTGCATCAGTGTGCAGTTCTGGAAGGATGATGGGGTGACCAGATTCAGCCTCTCCCCCACAATGTCCCTGATCGACTGCTCTTCCCCAACTCCTCTCTTCAACATGCAGTTTCTCTTCGCCCTTTTTGGGTGGTGTTTGTACTGGGGATAAAGGCACAACCAAAACCACAGCCGAGGGCAAGCCTGAGGGGTGCACCTTGGTAGCATCCAAATACTGAATCCTTTTGCTTCCATGGAGCTGTCCCAGAGAGAAGTCGGGATGTTGTGGTGGCCTGATAGGCCCGGAAATGACAACAACTCCCCTAGCAGCATCACCCAGGGATGCCACAACAAAGTCATCCAGTGAAACCAAACCTTTTGAAGCTACACGTTCAAATTGATTGGGAGCATAAACTACATCCTTTCTGTGTGTGTGTGTGAACTCTGCTATCTTTGATAAGACATGGGTTTCCCTATTTCTCCTTCATTAGGAGCCTTGAGGTCACTTCACCCCCMTGTGCACAGTTGCTTATTTCCATTCAATATGTAAGAACATCTTCATGTATGCACAGGCACACATGAACTGCTTTTTCCCCATGCCTTGGTGCTTCCTGCAATTAGTGCCAATTCAGTTATGTTTGAGCTTCCATACATGGCTGATCAAAACCACTTAGAGCCCATCAAACTCCTAAGGAAAGGCACATAATCCTAGTGAAAACAGGAACAGTTTATTTTCATTTTATACGCATCTGCAGCTCTCACATATTACACAAGAGTTTCAGTGTTACTTAGCACTTTTAAAAGCCATTTGTGGCACAGTTCTGTTAGTCTGTGTGGAACTCAGTTCAGTCTCAGCACAAATATTTCTGGAATATGGTTAAGAAAAGCAATTTTTAGGAAAAATATACTAGAAAGTGACTGTAGAAGAGTACAACTTTCCACCTACTGACAAAAGTTACTCTACTAGTACTGGGAGAATTTGTCATTGGGCCTTGATGTGCCCTAGTGCATCAGTGGGTGCACAGGCCAGTGCCACAAGCAAGAGGTGATCAAGCATAACAAGTGAGAACATCTCAGACTTGCATTTGTGTGTTTAGAAAATTCAATTGAGTCAAAACCTTCCCAGGTTTCACTTGCACATCTTTGAATCGAGTAAGTCTCACAATTGGCAATGCCCAGAACTTAGGTGAAGCAGGAAAAGGTAGTTCTTGTTGCTGTGAAGGCAGTGGAAAGGAATGGGGACTGTTGGCTCCCTTCTGAGCTAACCTTCTTTGCTCAGGATGGAGTTCCTGGACTCTGATTCTGCCATCCACTGGTGCTTTCTGAAATGAGACGGGGACAGCTGATGGAGGCTCCATGGCAGAGACCGTGTGGGAGTGGAGACAACATCTGGCAAGACCAAAGCAAGAGCTTTGCTGCTTAGTGTAGAAATACGCTGGGCATTTCCTCCCTTCTTCTCTCACTGCTGCTCCACAGGGCACACAGGGACTCACCTTTGTCTCCACACCCGAAACACTGATATGGCAGSTATAGCCATGGCTGCAAGCAGCCCTGTCATAAGCCCTGTGATCAGCACTACTTCTGAGTTCCCTGGGAAACGTGAGGAGAAGCTGCCATGAACTTTGAGGGGTTTGYTTCATCTTGTGGGGCAGGGTGGCTCAGGATCCCCATCTTATCCCCATGGGTAGCACCTACCCCATGGGATGAGAAGGCTGCGGGTGCCCAGGCTGCAGTGGCGCACACGGCAGACATAGCTGTGCCCATCACGGGGGGCCATGGCCAGGATGCTGCGGAGTTGGTAGGTGAGGTCAGCATTGGGCAGGATGGTGCTGGAGTTGAGCACTGGGTCCAGAGGCACCTCATGGCCATCCTGCAGCCAGGCTACGCTGATGGGACGGGGGTAGAAGCCGGTGACRTGGCAAACAAACAGTAGCTGGTCTAGGCTGGGGCTGTGGGCAAAGACCGTGGCCACAGGCAGCCCTGGGGAATGAGAGCAAAGGGATGGGGAAAGCCCTGGTGAGGCATGGCTTAGCCCTAGTGTGAGGAGCTTTGGGTTGGCTGTTGCAGGGCCAGGGTGGTCTGACCTCGTCTCTTCAGAGCTGCCCTCCCATAGTTCAGTAACACCTCCATGTCATCAACACAGGTATCATTGAAGAGAATTTCTACCAGCTCACTCACCAGCAGGGCAGTTCTGGAGWACTGACCAGACATACCGTGACAAGTTGGTATCCTGGGAGAGGGTCCAGCTGGCATTCTCTGTGTCAAAGCTGAGAAAATCCTGACCATTGTAACCCACATAGGTTCGTGAGGTTCTGTTGGGGTAGAGCTCACAGCCTGCCATGCATTGAGTCACAAAGGGGAGGGAGGAGAGGAGAGAGAGGTTGCRTGAGGGGCTGGGACTGCCTTGCAGACATGGTCAGTGTCTCCTATGCAATGCCAGCACTATCACATCCTTCCCCACTTCCCAGCTGCTTTTCAGAGAGGRGATGCAGTGAAGACTGGGTACTCACAGGGGACATCCCTTTGCATGGCACCTTCATTGATCAGATGGCTGAACTGCTGCAAATAGATCATGAGCAGGTTCTCAATGGTGTCCCAGTCACTCTTGAGGCAGAGCTGGGTGCACCCAGGGCTGGTAGAAGCGGATGGACCATGTGTGTTTATCAAGAGAACCAAGTTCAATGTGTCCCAGCAGACCCAGCCCCTCTGTGTGCACAAACAAGGTGTTTTAGAAGGTGGTGGTCTGGAACAGCCGGATAGTGAAGGTCTCTTCATGAGACAAGGGTTGACAGGGAGGAGATGGGACTGGGAGAAGAGGGCTGAAGAAAGTGGAGGGGCTGAGGGATTGGTCCTTGAGGTTGCAGGGATCCATGGGCCCCCCATAAGCCCCTTACAACTTTTGCAGCCCCAGCTCCCACCCTCTGCACTCAACAGAAGTGTCTGCATCCGTGCTGGGGAGGAGGTATGGAGCCAGAGGACAYGGAGGGGTAAGGAAGCAAGTACCTAAGGTGGGAGGGGGGTGGGGAGCAAGAAGCTTCTGCCCTGTAGAGTCCCATGGAGGTCAATGCGTATGAGCCAGGGGTTCCACTTACCCTCCAGGTTTGCCCATGTCCAAGAGAGGAGGAAGAGGTAGAGGAGGAAAGAGAAAAGGCAGCAGCAAGGGGACTTCTTGGCTCCAGCAGTGAGGCCCAGAGTGTGCAGTAGTGGATGCAGCAGCGGGAAGAAGTGACTGTTGCGAGATGTGGCCTCAGATGCCTTCTCAGGCTGGTTCTGCCCAGTGCTGGTGCTAATGCCTCTGGCAGCCAATGGGACTGACACTGAGGTTTAGGGAGGGCTCTGAGGTTCCCCCTTGGAGTGAGTTGGGGCATCTTGAGTGTGGCTGTGAATGCTGGGGAATTTGATTGTGAGCAAGCTCATCCCATTGGATGTAGGAGCGGTCCCTCATGGCTGCAGCAGTGATCTTGACAATCAGTGTGATGGAGGTGAACTCTTTCCTACTCCCCTTTCAGGTGGATGCGTCACTTGCCCACTATCCACTGTCCTGATAGGAATGTGCCTTACTCATGCCTGGTATGTCTGGCCCTGCATAGAACAGACATTGCCACCTGCTCTGCACTGCCAGGTGGGTTCACAACAATGTGTCTGTCTTTCCCACAGGGCTGGCAAGCCCTATTCCCACCACAGGGCTTCATGCCTGGGCTCTCTGTGGCCCCAGGCTGTGTACTAGTCCCATGCCTCTGTCACCTCCCAGCCATCCCACATCCAGGCCACTCTGATGTGCCACAGGTAAGTATGCCAGTGATGTGGAAAACCTGCAGGAGAGCTGGGCCATGGCCTTGGAAAGCTGTGAGGGGTGAGAGTGATGGAGAAGAGTCGATGGTGGTATCCCCTGACCCCTCAGCACTGCTGGTCTGATCCTGGGGAAGAGACTTGCCAGAAGATGGTTAGCAGTTCCAGCCTGGACCACAGCTGCAGGAACAGCTGGAGGAAGCAGTCCTCCAGGAGCTCCTCTTGGGGTTTAAGAAGGGAAGGGACTACAGCAGCTATAGTGTGGTGATCCCCAAGGGGAGAGATGGGCTGTAGCACCTGGAAAGGACTGTTTCCCTCTGACAGTCATCAGACTCCTGGAGCAGTGACACTTGGCTGGACAGGATCTTCAAGCTGGGATGGGACCCCACCATCAGCCCCATTCCAGGGGGTGCAGTGGTTGTGCAACTTCTCCCCTTTCCATGGAACTCTATTCATGCCATGGGTCCTGGGAGCTGCCTGTCTGCTTCCCTGTACCCACCAGGGTGGAGAGCCCAAACTCGGCCCTAAACACCTCCACAGGGGAGGGCCTGAGGATCGGCCGCAGTGTGGAAACTGCCCTTTCCTTCCCCCCGGCTTTCATGAGGAATCTAGTCCCCCTTCCCAGGAGTCCCCTCTTCATGGGAACAGAAAATGGTAGGAGCCATCCCCATCATCTGTCCAAATTGGCACCAGCGTCCGGTGCTGGAAGGACAGTGTGGAGACCAGAGCCAGCCTCACCCCCACAGTGTCCCATATCTACTACTCCTCCCTCACCTGGAGTTTTTCTCTCCCTTTCCTGGGGGGTGCTTATGTTGAGGGTGAAGGCAGAGCTGAAACCACAGCCGAGGGGAAGTCTGAGGTGGGATACCCTGATAACAACCAAACACAACAGGGGCAGATGTATCCACATGGGTATGTGATCCTTCCAAGGACAACTAGGACCAGGTGCCACTGATCCATGTTGCCAGCTGTAGGGACATGGGRAAGGCCTATATGGGGTTGCTGCAGGCTGAGCTCCAGCACCCCATGACACTGAGTCAGGCATGGGGACAGCAGGACACTGGCCCCCTTCCCTTCCCTGGAGCTGTTCCAGAGAAAAGTAGGGATGCTGTGATGACCTGATAGGCCCAGAAATGTCATCAACTACCCCAACACCCAGGGGATGTCACCACAAAGTCTACATCCCTCCAGCTAGTCCTAGACCCAGAGGGGAGTGTTTGGCTGTCGGGATGGCAAAGCATAGGCACTGGGGTAGCCAGGGAGGGAARAGCCAAGGGGACTTTAGTCTCTGCAAACCTGTGAGGTGACAACTTGTGCCTGTGCTCTCCGCTAAGAACTGTTAGTCACTTCTTGCTGAGTGGCTGAGAGGCCATTCACAGCCCTCTGTCCTGTGCAGGTGCATGGGACAAAACAAACAACAAGCAGCAAGCAGTCTCCTGTAGGTCCAGATGAGGTCCAGGGTACACAATCCATGTGGAAGAAATTTGTACGGAGCACCATCATTGTACACCAACTCCCTGGCAGTGATGTGAACAAAAGGAGAACAAACTGTCCTTCAGGTGACTCCCTGACTCCAGCAATATAAAGATTATCTTTTTTCCTCCCTATTGACCTGCACCTCGGTTGTGGAAAGACAGGTCAATATTGCAGACAGACTCAAAAGATTTGAGCAAACTAGAGAGGAAATGTCCCATATCCTGCCAGTACAGACCAGAGTCTCTGTTATTTGGAGCAAGCACCCCCCTGCTTGAGAGTGAGGGGATACATCACGAGGTAGCCTGTGTACTTGCATGACACAGAGAGGACATGAGGAGGTGGAATGGAAAACCCAGCTTTGTCATTGCGGGACAGGTATGTGAGCTGAGAGGAAGAACAACCACTGCAGGAGGTTCTTCAAGTTCTTCAAATTTCCAGTGGGCTAGTCCTCAGAATAGGAGGGCTGATGTTACTTCCAATCCTTTTGAAGGCACCTCTAGTTCATGTTTACAAGAAATGAGCAACAAGTACTATGACTAGGTGTCATGGTTTGAACTTGCCCAAAAGCCAAAGCATCCACGACATTCCCTGCCCCACACCGAAGAAGGCAGAAGGGAGAGCAAAAGCCCAATTAAYGCTAAAATTTATGGCTTTTAAATAAGATAACATAATTGAGAGAAAGATACCTATATACTCCAGAAATGGTCAGATAGTCTGAATAACTTAATTTGCAAAATAGATTTATTACTAAAAACTACTAAGAATACTATTGCACCAGGGAGGGGAACAAAGATAGGGAAAAATTTACAAGGAGAAGAAATAAAACCAGACATTTTAAGACACCTGTTATTCTTTCTGGGAACCTGTCTCTCCCACATCATCCCTCCCCACCCTCCATGCCTTCCCGTACACAAGAGGGGAAGGGATAAAAGTTTTAACATAGATCAGACTACTCATTACGGTTATTGTCCAGCACCATAGGAGAAAAGTTCTTACAGCTCTAAGCTGTGGAAGGTCTTTTCCCAAGAAACAGTGTATAACTGCTGGTGGCATGGGATTCTTTTTCTTTACCTTGTGAGAGAAAGGAAAACAGTCCTTCAAGGCCAGCATGCTTCATCTGAGGACAAGGCCACCCTCTCAAATATCCTGGCAGAACACAGCTTCTTCTAAGCATCAACTCACTTCAGATGTTGGGGGGGAGGGGGGGGGCACCTCTTTTCCCCCCAGAAAACAATTTCTTCTAAGCATCTACTCGCTTCAGAGGTGGGGAGGCCACCTCTTCCCCCTTTTTGGCTTATGTTCTATCAGGTCCTCCAAGGCCAGGTTTTTTATCTCGAATTCAGGGCCTCTATTTTCTATACAGGTCTCCCATTGAAGAAATAGTCCTTTCAAGAGCAGCTTGTTTTTTCCATGTCCGAGCACCACAGCAACAGTATCTGTCTTCTTCTTACTATGATCTTGGGTCTTCATTTTTTTCTTACATCTCCTCGCCCTCCTCCTCTGTCGTCCCCTAGTGCATGATACTAACAACCTAAAAACTACATGGCGGCCACACTCTATCTTGTTTTGAATCCTTCTTAAGTGCAAGACCATAAGTCATCACAGAGGTGTAACTAGCGTGTGCAATTGGCCCAGGCCTGACCAGCAGCCTGTCCATCAACATCAAAGTCATAACGTATTGGTTCTAAAACACAGGGGGCARGGCTCCTTTTGCTGGAGAAGAAGGAGAAAGCTTCTAGAACTTTGTCAGAGGAGCCATCTTTGTGGTTTCTTGTGGGGGAAAAAAGTGGCCCCACAAGCCCTGATTCTGAAACTCAGCCAACTATTGTGTATGACTGAGGCCTGGGAAAAGAAAGGGAGTGTTAACAGCCTACATGGAGGAGGAATACCACAGCTTTGGCTACTATTGAGAAAAGGAGATTAGAATGTAGAATTGATAACGCAGGTGGCTGGAAATGATAAACATTACTAATACTGTAGCTTTTGCAAACTCACCAATTATGTTCTGATTACTAATTAAACAGCTATCTCTTAACCAATGTATGTTTGACACAAATGTATACTCTGGTTGCTAAAGTGGATAAAAGAGGCTTGTCCCACAATAAAGTCCTTCTTTCTCTCTGTTTTTTTTTCACCCACTTTTGTGTGTTTTGTATGTATTTTTTTGTGTCGCTGTTTGGCCAGCAGYGACAGTTTCTTGGTCTCATCACCCCACCACCAAAAAACTGGACTGAGTAAAACCAGGACAGTAGGACTGGAGCGACCCTGCCTCCAGCCAGATGGAGGAAGGACAATCAGACTTATTAGACTGCATGTGTCTGATGACCTAGCTCATCCAACCCATAAGAGTATAAGGTTTTAAGTGATGCCAGTGCACAGTGTACCCTGATGCCACCGAGGTCTGTAGTGGCAGAATTCATCTCTATTTTGGGGGTGAAAAG